TAAAGGATAAATCACAATTTTGTCATGCGCTGGCCCCATTCGTCCTTAGAATGTATTTGCACTATATGGATATATATGTGAGAATTGGTATGGTTAACATGTGAAGGTAGATATGGATGAGCCTTTATGCAAACACGTTTCTGATTTTGAAATCCCTTTGGAAAGGAACTGACGAAAATTAAAAAAAAAACCACAACTTTTTACCCCACACTTTGAACCCTTTCTAGCTCCTATACACATTATGAGGTAAGTGATTTGAAGGTAAAAAGAAACAGGGTCTTCAAGAGTCTTCCCCTTGCCTTTCTGAAGCTTGCTAACTCTACAGTGCTCCTCTGTGTCGCTAAACATAGGCCATTTCCTTGAGAGAACGAGGCTTGTGCAATAAATACCACTGTCTCCGGCCCACCCCATGGCCAATTGAGGCTACAGGTCTAACATAGACAGTCTGACACCAAAAAGCTGTTTTTTTCCTGCCACCACAGCTCAGGAGCTGGGAGTCATCACTGGCAAGCCACTATCTGTCTGTTTGAGTGCTTCCATCACCAAAGTGGTAGACATTGGGGTGTTCCATCCTTTCCTGACTTGGCAAAATACAATTCCACTCCTTCAGAACTCTGCAATCCTCAGCAGAGGGGGTTCCTTTAGGTCCCAGAGAGATTCTGCCAAATCTACCATAATTAATTTATCACAGTAAAGTCAATTTATTTTTTTCTTCCCTGCTAAATTGTAAGTGCCTTAAGGACAGAACTGCTGATCTGTGCACTGCTTACCCAGCTCTTTGTAGTGACTGCCAGCCTAGTGACTCCTCCCTGGATCTCCCCTCCTGCCTCAGGGCCATTGCACTAGTGAGTCCCTTGCTCTTTCTTTTTCCCAGATACCCATTTAGCATTGCATATCCCCCTTGCCTGGTGTATTTTTTCCTTAGCATTTATACCACGATCAAACCTACTGTATTTTTTGCATGTTTTCTTGTTTGGATGTCTCCCCTACTAGAATGTTAGTTCCAAGGTGGTAAAGACTCTTGTCCATTGTGTTAATGCTGCGTCCTCAGCATCATGAACAGTCCCTAGAAAGCTGGAGCTTCTTTGTAGATAACCCCACACGAGTAAGTAACCATCTTTCTAAGCTAAGGCACCCATTTGCCTGCTCAGATGGTTGTGGGTACAGAATCCATCAGGAGTCTTAAATCACTGCCTCAGCCCCCAGGAAGGTCTCAGGCCAGATACCTCAATAGAAAGTGGTATCTTTTGGCATCTCAAGCCTTACCAACTGCAGATTAATGCATAAAAATGTGCTGGTCTGACCCCTAGAAATGTGTCTGCTGTCCCTAGACATTAGACATTCAGTAATGATTTCACCTCCAGACAGCCCTATCATATAGTTTTTGGAAATTTATTTCAAAAGTACATTGGAATGTACTCTTTTAAATATTTTCTAATTCTAAGTAATTATACATGATAGTAGAATGCATTTTGACACCTCATACACAAATGGAGTATAACTTCTCATTCATCTGGTTGTACATGATATAGAGTTACACAGGTCACGTAATCTCATATGCACATAGGGTAATAATGTTGATTCATTCTACTGTTCTTCCTACCCCCTTGCCCCTTCCCTCCCTTCAGTCTAGTCCAAAATACCTCTATTCTCCCCACCCCATTTATTGTGAATTAACATTAGCATATTAGAGAAAACTTTTGGCCTTTGGTTCTTTGGAATTGGCTTATCTCACTTAGCATAGTATTCTCCAGTTTCATCCATTTATTGGCAAAGGCCATAATTTCATTCTTCTATAAGGCTGAATAATAATGGAATGTACTTTTATGAAATAGTACTTACTTTCCCATGGAATCCTATATGTTCTGTCCTCAGTGTAGCACACACTCAGGGTTTCTAGGAATATATTTGGCACCTGAAAATAGACTCAACTTCCATTTTGGTCTTCTGGGTCTGTGGAATGTTCTAGTAACATTAAACTTTGTTGCTTTTCAAGAGCCGAGGGCTCTTTCTGCTTAAAGCCAGTGATTCTGAAATCAGGTCTTGCTCTCCTCCTTCAGTTTTCTAATTGTCCGGATTTAAAAAAAAAAAAAAAATTTGGAGACTAAAAGATGACCAAACCCAGAAGGCATACATGAAAACCCAAAATTAGGTTCCCAAGAAGAAAAAACAAAAACTTGGTGGCTTCAAAAAAAAAAAAAAAAAAAGTAGGAGAAGAAAAGTTCATCTTCCTGCTGGACACTGAGTTTCAGAATACATGCATGGAAGCAAGGTACCTGCATTTGAATTTGAGGGCGAACACACTCATGACAAATTAACACATTTTGTAGCTCTGTTGTGAAATGTTTCAATATCCTCCATAATATTCTCCATTCTCCCAGGAATTAAATTTTAATAGGTAATCATCAAGAGAGCAATATTATTGTTTCTCATTAAAGTTTTTGAGAGTTTTTAAAAAGCATTATCATTTATGCCATTTTTGCAAGCTTAAGGACTTACAGATAAGGAATCCCCAGTATGTATTTTATACATTTGAAGTTTGTGCAGTATTTTTTCTATCACTCATTAAGTAAACTGAGTAACAATTTTCAAACATATTTTGCATAGACATTTAATGTTTGTTTTTTCATTCTTAATGGTGCTAATTAGGCTCTTTCAAAAATGCTTTTGGTTTTCAAAACTCTTTTCATTAAAATGATTCTACAAAATATTCTCCTGATAAAGAAAGATTTCCTTTTTGCTATCAAACCAAACTTGCTTTAATTAAGTCATTGTGGGGTGAGTTTGCTCTCAACTGGTAAAAGCCTCAAGCTGTTAACAGTTAATTACAGYTAACCAAGATATGGAACAGTTCTTCCAATGAGGGTCTGGGCCAGGAACAATAAGTTTTAAATAAAACTAGCAGGAGAAAACAAATACAGGGTATAGAAGAATAATAGGGACAGTGGAGCCATCAACAGAGGTAGAAGATAAAGGAGTCCTCTGTTAGTGGAAATTTACAGCTAAATTAGTTTTTAAAAAGCATCACCACACCCTGCTCTTCCAAACCACTCTTCTAACTCCCAAGTTAACCAGGGAATTCTGGGTCAGCTTCTTTTCCTTGGATTAAATTCTTTTTAACATATCTTTTTTTTTTTTTTCCTCCTTTCAGTTCTTTAACTTCCTCCCCTCAGTTCAAAAATTTCTCTTTCAGGACAGTATGGCCTTTTACCCCATCTCCCTCCCCCAACTACACACTGTAGAAGAGTAATTTACTAACTATCATAAAAATTGCATTTCTGGGTAAAGATCAGCGATTTCTTCTCCCAACTTAGTGCAACTCTTTAAAACTGGAATGAGCATGCTGTTGCAAACACAAACAGTRACCATTGTCTCCTCAAATAAGATTAAATTGTTAACTCTGAGAAGTCCCCCACTGTGTTTTCCAAGAATGACCTGTTTTACAAATGTTAAATTCACAGTCAGCATGTGAGGGCTCCTAGACCGCCTTTTCCTTTTTTCTTATCTGAAGTTATAGACCTCAGGAGAGTGGGCAGGTTACAAGGTCAAAGTCTTTTCCTCCTTGGAACTTGCTGCTTGCTGGGAGAGGGCTGCCTGGAAAATAGATGCTTTGGAGAAGAGGTTGGGGGGTCAAGATTTTAATTCTGTTAAGGAACAGCTGGTTTGAGTTTCTTTCCATTTCTATCTCTTGCTCCCTTCCTCACAAATCCATGGAGAGAGAATTGTGCAGAAGGAACCGGCAACATAAAAATATACCTTCCATTACTGGAGCGGTTCACATATGTCATCTCCGTTACAGAGTCAGTTGCCGAGTGCTAAAGAGGGGTGCTGCTTTTTATAAAATTAACTTTATCTGAAAACATGARCAGAGCCTGAATCAGAAGAACCTTTTCTAATACAGGGTATTTTACCTAGAAATTTCTTTGAGTATTTTTAAACTTTTAGTTTAATGAAGGCCTCAGGGATATTTAGWGTCTAAATGCAAAAGGAGTAACATTTACGTTACTGGTTTCTGGCCTAGACACTTTGTCTATGTCCAGATTAGTATGCCTTCATTCATTCCTCAAGTGTTTATGTGGCACCCACTCTTAACCACAGCCAGGCAAGGGGCTGGAGAGGGCATAGGGAGACACGCTGAGGCTCCTGTACAAACAGGTGCATAAACATTCTCTTGGTCCAGCAAAGTTTTAGCCCAAAGTTAACAACCTGCTGTTCTGAACAGTTTAAACACTGCTTAGGATTTAAAATCAGATCTGTTCAAACTAACATTATGGTATAACAAACTCATAAATTCAATATTTAAAATGAACATGTAATACCAAACTGTAAAAAATAACAGTTAAAAAAATTTTGAAAGAAATGTAAAACAACACATGGTTTGATTATTTTTATTTAGGTCCTGAAGTCTCCTGTCCTTTTTAAAAAAAAAAAAAAATCCTGTGTGTGTGCATACACACACASAGAATAAAACTCACTTCTCTCAAATAAATGGCAAACTAGTAACAGATTTTTTGTCTGGGCTCCTCAGCACACTGGCCTCAGGCTGTGTTGGTGTGTGGCTCAACAGCAATCAGAGGTCATAATTTCATTGGCAGTTAGCATCAGGTTTAATTTTTCTAGCATGTTACATTTACCAAAATGTCTGGTTTCAGTTACACTCAGACACTGACTGAATCAGTTTTGAGCAGCGTGATGTCTTAAGGTACCTGAGGTTTATGGAACACACATGCTAATTGTTTTCAATCACTTTCTTTTCTAAACACAAAAATGTGTTTTCTGAAGCTGAATAACAGTAGTCCTCGATGACATTGCTTGTTTCCCACAGAAGAGCACCTCAAGTAGGTAAAAATGTCAATTTAACGAGACTGCCACCTACTGATTTACATAGTAGAAAAATGCTCCGTTTAAGGTGTTTTTTAAAATGTCTGTATGTGGCTTTTCAAAAAAAAAAAAAAGTAGCTTTCAAAAAACTGATGTATATCATTTTGATTGCTTTTTAGGAATGTGACCAAGTCCATATAGATGATGTTTCTTCAGATGATAATGGACAGGATCTAAGGTGAGCACCATGAAATGTGAAGGAATCCTCTCCCTTTTATGGCTTAATTGTTCATCTAATTAAGATGAATTTTCTGTTCAGTTAACTTTGGACTTCTCTTGCATCTAAATAGCACATATAACTTTGGAACAGATGGCTTTCCTGCTGCAGCCACCAGTGCTAATTTATGCCTGGCAACTGGTGTCCGGGGCGGTGTGGACTGGATGAGAAAGTTGGCCTTCCGCTACAGACGAGTAAAAGAGATCTACAACACCTACAAAAACAATGTGGGAGGCAAGTGACCATCACCAGTGCAGTTCAAATGCCAACAGTACCATTCACTGTTGGGTCACACTGTTTGGGACGTAATTAGCTTTTTAAGGACAGTTGCATCTCACGGGCACTTATCTGCTGTGATTTAGTGTCAGAAATATCAGAATAGAGCCTGCTACCCTGTTTACCTAGTGATGTGACCTGGGGGAAGTCCCTTGACCTCTCCAATTCAGTTGTCCTTCCAATAATATGGGCTTAGCAACCCCTAACCAAATCACAAGATGGGCTGTTAACATTCCTTCTACAGGGTRGATGCTTGCCTTAGCTTGGATCTGTTCCTGTGGTTCACGGTGGTTAGGATGGCTTTAGCATTCACAGGGAATATATGGACTTAAAAAAAAAAAAAGATGGAAAGTGTAAGGATAGATTTCCAACATGGCTGTATTCAGATGTTCAAGTGATGTCATCAAGAGAATCCATGCTTTCCCTCTAGAGAGGAATCATCTGATTGTTCCTCCCAAAAGGTGGGAAATGACCACCAGTAGATCCCGGTCTGTATCCTACCAGTTTAGCACTTTCTGGGTRAGGAAGAGCAGTCTTTCCATAGATTCAGCAAAAGGTCTGCCGAGACTGATGTTCACTGGCAAAGCCAACATCACACACTTATACTGGCAGCCAAAAGGTTAGCTGAAGTGAGGAAAAGAGATGACCCAAAAAGAAGGAATGCTAGGAATGCAAAGCCAGTAAGTGGCCCTTATAAACTAAGAACATTTGTCACCTGAATGAGAATATGTGAAAATGACTTTGTATATTATAAAGCTTGAAGGCAATGTTGGTAATGATATTAAGTATTTATACAGCCGGAGAAATGCATTGGTGAGGAAATAGCTCATATACTCTTTTAAATCCCCAGGTCTGCTTGGTCCAGCTAAGAGGGAAGCCTGGTTGCAGTTGAGGGCTGAGATCGAAGCTCTGACAGATTCCTGGTTGACTCTGGCCCTGAAAGCACTCTCCCTCATTCACTCCCGGTGAGGCACCCTTGGGGTCTCTGCTGGGACAAGAGTGCTGCTGGCTTGTTCATTTGGGGGATTCATTTTTCAACAGTCTTTTCTTTCTGTTCCCTTAGGACTAACTGTGTGAATATTTTAGTAACAACTACTCAGCTCATCCCTGCGTTGGCGAAAGTCCTGCTATATGGATTAGGAATTGTATTTCCAATAGAAAATATTTACAGTGCAACTAAAATAGGTGAGCTGTTTGTTTTTTTATTTTTGTCAACTCTTTCTGGGTAGTAAAAGTGAAAGACAGTAAATGAAACTTATTTTTCAGAATTCAGAATACTTGAGAAATAATTTTCAAAATCAGCATTAGACATCAAGAGAAATAAAATATAATCCATTTGGTAGAAGTCATAAAATTTTATTTCACTGGCTAATATTAAGATGAGTACTTGAGATATAAGTAATTTCTCCTCAATTCCAGATTATCATTTTAGACACCATCAACAAAAATATTTGTAAGCTAAAATGAGCAGTTATGTAAAACTATAAAAAGAAACAACTCTAAAAATAGTTTTCTATTACTGGAAATGGGATTTGTTTTTAATTTTTAATATGTATGAACAATTGAATTTCCATTTTTTTATGGAGATACCAAAAAATCAAGCTATTTGCAAGAAGGAAACAGTTGGGGAAAAGACTAATATGAAATTTAATTGAACTATAAACCAATATAGAATAAAAGTAGGGATACAAAGACATGGCTCTTATTCTCAGGGAAAGCAGACATCTCAATCAATCACCATATTCCAATATGATAAAGTAATATATGAATGAGCACTTATCAAGTATCTACTGGGTGTCTAGAACTATACTAAGTATTTTATATAATTAACTCAATCTTTACATTTTACAATGAGGAAATTAAAGTAAATTGCTCAAGTATATAGTTGGCCAATTACAGGTCTGATTCCAAAATGTAAACTCCTTTCCATACCCTGGAGGTTGCTGCTAAATGCCTGAATGTGCACATGGCCAAGGAAGCATTTGCTTCTGGTCAGGAGTCAGCAGAGGGCAAATACTAGCAAAAGCTAAGGGGTGGGATGACATTTGAGCTGGGTATAAAAGAACAAAGACTGTGAACCCAGCAGATGTGCTAAGAGATCAAAAGAGAAATTAAAATGTGTTCCCTGCTAAGGGATTTGTGAATGATCCTGATTGATTAGTGTACAGTGCTCATAGGGGAAGTTGAAACTGGAGAGGTACACATGGGTCTAGTCTTATGGCTTTGTATATTACCCTAAGGAGATAAATGTTACTTTGGTTAATTCCACGGAGAAGAGGATAAATCATCCTTGTAGGTAGGTAGAAGCCTATTTCTGGCTATTTATAAAGGGACAAAGGTGGAATTCCTGTGAGTCTAATGGGTCTCCTACTTTTATACTTCTCTAAAGTACATACTTAATGATCACTAAATAACTATATAATTATTTATAGTAAGACTTCTCTACTAGTCTTTAATATTCTTGAGGTCTCTTTTGCTCATCATAGTGTCTGCAGTGCCCAGCATATATTAGGTACTCAAAACATGATTCTGAATAAAATAAATTTGTCTATTTCAAGGAAGGCTGGCATGGAGGTTTCTTTTAGGCACCTGGTTCAGTGGTGGCATGATTAATGGATGGGGAAATTATGCTTAAATTAGTGTTGAGTTTGAAAAGCCTATGGGGTATTCGGGCAGACTTCTCAAACTGGAAATATACATATTTAGAATTTGAGAATGATGGTTCCCGAGAAAAGACCAAGATCAGAAAGCTGAAAAATATTTACAAAAAGAAAGGGATATACTAAATAACTTTTTTAGTAGCCCATTATAACTAAAAATTGTTCTTTTTATGGAACATGAGAGCATATACAATCGGTTTATATTAAGTCATGTGTTAATCCTATTTTCATCTATATTGATCAAGTGGAATTATTGTATTTTGTAAACAGAGATTGTGGTAAGGTTTATTATAGCACATGAAAGTTGGGACAAATTCCAAGGAAGCATTTAGTACACAGAAGGGGTAGTTCTGAGCCCCAGAAGGAAAGCACAAGTAGTATTGTGTGTCATATGCTTTGAGGTTTAATCCCAGGTAATAGGAAATCACAATAACACTTCATTAACTATTTAAATTGACATCTTATTTCAAATATTGGATGTTTTTTCAGTACAGAATAAAAATTAGAATGAAAAATAGAGGGTGGTACACAATTATCTCAGAGGCAGGATTTCACTTTTCTATATTTTTATTTAGAAAACTAGATTAAAACTCATTGTGCCATCAAATAAGAGATGTGATCAGTATATAAAAAACAGGCTTTTCATGGTACACAAACYGCTAAAATGCTAGGAGAAGAATGGTCTCTCACTTAGCAGAACTGCKGCGATGCCTTTTCAGACAAAATGGATTTAAAGTGAATACTTAGAAATCTTATACTAACTTCTAAATGGCAGCTTCATTATCTTCATCTTTTCTACATGACCCAAAATTTATAGTTAAACCTATATGCATAGGAAAGAATTCATTTTTGTCCTCTCTACCTTCGCCTTTAATGTTTTACCTTCCTGTTTCCATGAGACAAAAACTGCAAAAATACTTATTTTCCCTCAAGGAGGGAAAAAGTAGTTTTTATGACACATATTTGGTTATACATTTTTGCAATGAAAACTATGTTTTGTATTTGTTCCTTAGTGACTTAATGTTTCACAGTTTAGTAGACAACTAAAGCAGCATTAAAATTGTATCCTTTGAATAAGGCTGGCTCTATTTCATTCTGTCAGATGCAAATGAGAGATTTTAGTGCAAAATACAAATATAAAGCAGACATTTGTTTAAGCAAACAAGCAATTTGTTCATTGGTATATCTGATCCTTATTTGAAAGGGGTGCAGGTCCCTCTCAACCATTCACATTTGAAAACTATAAACTGTCCCATTGTCCAGTAAAATGACCCCATTGGCAGCCAGAGACTTGGAAGAAACAATGCCTGCATTAACTGCTAGGTTGTGCTGGTGGGGTAGCCTCGCTGGAAGCCCAAACTAAGTCATGACATGGGAAAGATAACAGAGATAAAGGTGTTTTGTTACCTGTATCTCTCCTTTCCYCTAGGAAAGTGCTTTATTGAACATGAGATGCCTGGGTACAGTAGGCATGAGCTCACTATGGTACCCCAATTACCTGACACTGATTTCAGGAGGAGTTTTATGAGACTATTTCAAGTAAACTCATTGAGCTTTAATTCAACCTGAAAACGAAGGGGTAAACTAATTCCAATGTTTGTTTGTTCGTTCTTGCTATTGCCAAAACCAAGTCAAACCAGTTTCATTTCTCTTAACATTCTCTGTTTGGAACAAGTATTTTCAGAGTTTGATATTTTACGAAACTTCTTAAAAACCAAGCTATAATATATTGYCAGAATTTCATGTCTTTGTTTAGTCTCAGCTTGTAAGGAAAAAAAAAAGTATTACTGCAAAACAACACTGTTCTCTCAATTGTTAAACTGAGATTGACTAGATTTTACTTTTTAATAAACAAGTCCTTGGGAAAAGAGCATTTTAAGTTGTCAGTTTTCAAGGGACAGGATACCACATTGCTAATTAATTTGTAATTTTAAATCTATTGTGCTATTCCATATAATACCAAATGACATACTAGCACTCTAAATTTTGCACAAATGGGGTTGAGTTGAATCAAAAGCACAAAGAAAGCATTTTATATAAAAGGTTCCAGCATAATCGGGCTGGGTTATCCAAACTTTACATTTTCTGTAATTTATTTTTGTTCATTAGGAAAGGAAAGCTGTTTTGAGAGGATAATTCAAAGGTTTGGAAGAAAAGTGGTGTATGTTGTTATAGGAGATGGTGTGGAAGAAGAACAAGGAGCAAAAAAGGTGAGTGTAGAGGGTACATCTTGTGCTATTCACTTTTCCTTAGTCCTCAAAATTCTCATAAATGGATCATTGAAACAAGTTCTATTCATCTGAAACAGAGCTATAAGCACCAGAAAAGGTTAGAGAACTCAACATGAATAGTGAGGTGTACAAGTTCAAAGGTTGTAACCAGATTGTGAAGATCTGGTTGGTCTTCATAGAGTGTAGACTTGGGGAGCAGAAAGGTAGGCACAGTGGCACAGCCACCGTGCAGAACAGAGATAACACACACGCTTACTCATGCCAACCTGCCCCTTTCTGTACTCAGAACAGACGTTGCCAAGTGGTTCAAATCTCATTACCTGAGCACCTTTCAATCATCACTTCAGAAAGCCTCTTCCATACCAGGTGGCCAGAGACTTGGTTTTCTATGGGACCTGATGGGCCTGCCTCTTGGGACACTTGTAAAGGACYTCACTTTAGACTTGCTGTCTTACCCTTGCATTTTTGTTCTCCTCAATCTCTTCCAAGATTCTCTCTGAAGAAGCTGTTTCATTCTGAATTTCAATGCACTTTTGTAAGGGGAGGACCACATACCTTAGCCTGACACCCAGGGTCTTCACAATCTGGTTACAACCTGCCTTCCTCCTTCACAGAACACTGCAGTCATATTCATCTGCTGATGTTTGTTTTGTTACTGTAACAAAATACTTGAGACCAATTTATACAAGAACAGGTTTATGTGGCTCAGAGTTCTAGAAGCTGAGCAGTCCATCTTGCTACATTATAACATGGCAGAGGGCATCCCACATTGAGACAGTAAGTGTGCAAGATCAGGTCTCTGTTCCTCTTGTATAGCTATTAATGCTGTCATGCCAGCCCTATCTCCTGACCTTTATCTAATTCCCTCATATAGGACCCACCTCCAGATACTGTCAACATAGGCATTTGAGGATTTACATACTCCTCAGACCATGCCTAGCATTTTTTCTCTGGAATCYTTACTCCAGTGCCTTTCAGTCATTGTCTAACTCAATTTTCAAAATTCATGCTTTAGGTTCCTAGACACTGAGGGTATATGAAAAGTAATTATAGTCTAACTCACCAGAACTGGAGTAGTAAACAGCTTGGATTCTTGCTCCAGCCTAGGTTTGATTTATGGCTCCGCATCTTATCCAGTCTGACTTTGCACAAGTTTCTTGACCCCTCTATTCGTCTAGCGAAAGCACCTAGCTCTGAGGCCTGTTTTTGAAGATTAGAGATCTATAACTACAATAAAATAGAACCTGATACATGTAAATTCAGTAAGAAATGTAGCCACCATTCCTGTTGGCTGATGTGCCTCTTTCAGGAACTAAATCTGAGCTTAGAGGTGGAGATCTTGTTTTATTGAGTCTGTCTTTGAATGCTTTTATAAATCTTGGTACACTTGTGCTCTAAATATTTCTTAAGAGCATGACAAGATTAGCCAATAACATAACTTTCCCCTCCCTCCCACACTCATTCATTAGATTCCATAAAAGAATCTAGTTCTTATACAATATTTTTTCGTATATGCTAGAAGTGGCACATAAAGTTCCAGGTCACAGATGCATCATTGAACATCAAGTATGACATGTGGCCATCCTTCTTATGGTCTATGAAGATGACTTCATGCACCTTTGTTGGTGCCTCTGAATTCCAATTAAAGTGTAGGTATTAACACTAATTCTGTCAATGACCTCACTGATACGCACCATGGATGCAGTGTGCCAGGAGACTCACATTAGAACATGGCCTGTTATAACAGACCTTCTGGGATGTTAGTGCTTGATCTGAAATGGCATTTGCCATTTAAGCACTCGTTCTGACCTTTCTTCKCCACCAGTGTGCAGCATTGATTGTTCTTGGGTATACGTATTAGACCTGTGGATCATCTTCCTCAAAATAAATTAGAATTCCCAACATTTAATCCTGGAGATCTAAAAGAGAATGTTTAGTGGGAATGCAGGCTCAAGTTGTCTTTCTGGAATTCCCCCTTGGACCTCCTGGTGGCCAGGAAGGCATGGAACACATTTACACCTCTGAGAACTGTGGAGTTGAAGAGCAGCATTTCATGCCAATGTGGCCCTAGGCCAGCGTGTGACTCTGCCTGGTTCTTCTTCCTCTGGTGTTCACCAAAAGTTTAATTTCAGGAGAAAGTTGCCAAAGTGTGTGAAAGTGATCACCTAAAATCAAAGAATACAGGTAAAATCCTTTGGACCCTAACTTAAAAAAATATATTTCTTAGGTTTGGTTTTGGTAAGAACAAATTCTTTGTTAGAAAAACAGTTAAAATTATTTCCGTTTGTCTTTGGATATGATATTCTTTCTTTACCTGGGGCACACTAGTTGCAAAGAACATTCTCTTTGAATTTTTTTGAGTATGAATGGGTCATCCTGRCCTTTAACTTTGATTTCCTGTTTGACTATAGGTGATGAGTTCCAAACCATCTGATGAGAATAGTCTCTTTGTACCTTGGGACTGCCTCTGTGTATATAAAGCATAGATTTTTCAAAAGATTCAGATATCAAGTTATTACCCAGAATGACAGGTCTTAAGGAGAATGTTTTGTCTAGCCTTTTTAGAAAAAGATCTAAAATAGATAATGAATATCCTCAACTTGCCCTGTAAAAAGCTACATAAAGAGAAGAATTAGCAGTTCTTGTTTCAATTACTAACATCTTCATGTCTCTCCTTTTAAGCACTCATATTCATTGTCTCATTAAATCCTTGCAATTTTATTAGGAAGGAATCCTTAGACCCACTTCACAGAGGAGGAAATGAAGGCACAGAAAGGATAATTTATTTGGCCAACAGACACAGCTAGAAAGTGTCCTAAGTTTTGAACTTCCTTTCTCTGGTCTCATGAGATTTAGAAGTAAATTGTGAATCTCATTTATATATCTTAAGCATTTGGTTTACAGAAAATAATTTTTATGCTTTTATAAATTAAAGTTTGTGTATCTTCTTGTGAGGCAGATATGAAATTATGCTTTTAAACTTTATTCATTCTGATACTTCAGTTATTGAGTAGTACTGATCAGTTTAAATTACTAAATAAAATAGTGAACCACTGAAGTCTTGCACATTTTTATATTGTTTTGCAAAATCAAAACATTTTGCATTTGTTCAAAATCAGTTTTAACCATTTAGCTTACCTCTCAGTTAAAAATGCACAACATCACTCTCTCTCCTTTTCCCTGTAGAGATGTCTTTCATCTGACTAAGTAAGATTGTTTTTTAGGCCAGTAAGTAATTCTCCAGTTGCCTATGTCATTAAAGGTCACTTGAAATCCTGATTTCACTTGGACCTCTTTGCCAATTTAGTCCAAGGACTTTTCTGAGTAACTGAATCTAACTCTGTAATTTGTATCATAGAAATACTTTCCTCAAAGAAAAAAAAATCAGGCTTTCTTTTTCACCATAAATTCTTTGTTTCCCTAATACAATATGACTTGAGTGAAAATTGTTCATGCATATGATTCATTTGTAGAGTAAAAGTGGCCTTACTAAACTAACCTTAGAAAGCTATTTCAAATTAGTCTCTTCTGATAGTCTCTTCTGAATAACAGGAAAAAACAAATATACATWACTCTACACAATGACATAGGCTTCATCAAAAGTTGTTCACTTTAGCCAGGCAGCGCAGGCCTGTAATCCTAGCAGCTCAGGAGGCTGAGACAGGAGGATCATGAGTTCAAAGCACCTTGCTTTTGCTGAAGTTGGCTAAGCAACTCCGTGAGACCCTGCCTCTAAATAAAATACAAAATAGAGCTGGGGATGTGGCTTAGTAGTTGAGTGCCCCTGAGTTCAATCCCTTCTACCACCCGCCCCCCCAAAAAATGCTCTATTAAACATTCAAAACTTGTAAAATCCAGAATAGAACTGAGAACCTGATTGACAATACCTAATTCTRAACATATTCAAGAGGAAAATAGAAGCCACTTATATAAAAATATTAGTAATGCAATTAAATTATCTGGTTTCAGATTTCATTAAGAGTGATACAGAGATTACAAACATGGAATCCAAAGAATCTTACTACTGTATAGTGATTTGTTAACATTTGATGAACACTTACTATATGTCAGGTCTTGGAACTGGATTCTCCTTCATCCTTGAAGAGCTCACTTCTGATTAGAGGGGAAAAAGATGTRAAGTATAATAAGTATTCATGAGTTGTTAGAATAATCTATGTCTTGAAGTCTCTATAATTTGGGAAGCATAGGTACATATGCAAACTATCCAGAAATAATGTATGCATAGGAAAGCAGAGTTTTTTTTAATACAAATGATAATTATATTGTTTTCTTCTGTGCCTGCTTTTTTTCATTGGCAATCTGTCCATCTCTAATCCCTTTAAGTGACTGCTTGGTATTCCATTATGTGGATGTGCAATTATTTAACCAGTCCCCTGGGGCTGAACTTTAGGTGGGTTCCTGTGTTTACTATTACAAACAGTTCTGCAGTGAATGGTGTTTATGTGGTTTATTCAAGTATATCTGTTGGACAAATTCCTCTGTGGGATAAATTCCCAGAAGTGCAATATGAACATCAGAGTCTGCTTTTAAATTTTGGAAAATTTTAGTTTAATCCAGCAATATCCATTTATCTATGAGTGCCCACATGCCCGGCTTTATGTGTGATGGATGTCAGATGTAACTAGAAGGGAGAAATGCAAAATATCAGGTGGGAAGGTCAGGGTAAGGGAATTTGGAGAGTTCACAGCCATAGTCAAGAGGAAAAAGGAGGAAGATGTCATTATGTTCCCTTTGGAAAACATTTTGGCTGTAAAGACCCAGAACCATGTGCTCCTTTAGGCTTGGTACCCACTTCTCAGTGTGTGCTCACTCTTGATAAACTAACTGTGCATGCGTCACACTTATTGCTGTCATTTCTGTTAAGATTTGTGGGTAGCTCTATTTTGGAACCTAGGGCTCCAATTACCAGATGGAGTATTTCCATTTTGCTATTGCATGTCATAACCATCTGAATATCTTAATACACCAAATGATTTCAGCTGTCCCAAACCAGTTTGTCCACTTAGACTCGCTTTGGGGTGCTCTACTTGCAGCACATAAGTCACATGAATTCTCTGTTCATGATGCCTTCCATCCATCACACTCACTCCATTTCTACTGTCACTCTGCCTGATTTTTCTGTGACCCAGACAGTCACACTTCCAAATCCATCTGACTCTGGCTGCTGCCCTAAATTGTTTAAAATACCTTCTTGGTGTCTCCCAACATTGAGGAATTATTAGCCACCATTTCCTTCTATTTACCAGATACAAATCTAAACCCCTTATATATTTTTCATTTCCTTGAAAAATCTTATTAATCCATATAATAAGTCATCCAGACTAATCACAGAAAATGCTCTGTGCATCCTACTTGTTGGCCTTGTCACAACACACACCTCCTAACTGGGAGACCCATCCCTGTACATCTCTCTTTCCAACTTCCTCCATTCTTCCACTTCAGTACAAGCCCAACTTACTGCTTTCAGCTAAGCTCTCCTCTCTGAATTTGAGTTTAAATCCAACACAGCCTCACAAAATTGTAATGAATTTGTCTCATCAGATATATCTTGCCTGCGGCGGCATGTGTCTTGTGTCTATTAACTATTACGTTCCTCCTGCAGCTACAGTACTCTAAAGGGAATGGACTATAGCTTAATAATTAAATCAAACTTGCAATCAAGCATCTTGAGTCATTTCCACTAAACATTTATTTTATAGATAGGGAAGCTCTTAGAAATGCATGCAATCTTTGCATCAATGTGTGCTTATTTAGGGAAAATACTATTATGCAATATTAGTTCTAATTATTTATGGATAGGAGTTTTTGTCACCAGCCTTCTTCCATAGACTGTTTTCTTTTATGCACCTACTTGATAGTAAGTTAACATCTCTTAGAGAAGTCCACTATTTTTTTTGTGAGAATGAAGCTGATCATTGCAGACCTCTTTACCCTTCAAGAGATGAAATAGTGCTGAGTCTGGAGTTTGTGTCCTAAATGCAGCTGTCCCCAGAATCTGCCTGCTGTCATYGTAAAACCTTGGGCACTTTTGTTCCAAGGAAGTAGCCTCATCACCWCTGCACTGTGATAGGTTGATGGGCTGTCTATCATCTGCTAAAGGAATAGCTCATCACTTTCACTCAGGGCTTCTTAGGAAGAATCTCACCTTTCTATATAGTGTTGTAGAATAGGGCTTAAAGGTAAAACAATTTAAATGTGCTCTAGGCTGGCATCAACACACCTATGAAGATGAGTGACAGTCATTGGACCAGTTTTTTGCTGTGACATGAAATGGCCAATTTATGACTTAACCATGTACCAAAGAATTAGCTGGAGGKTTTTTTTCAGTTCCCTTTTCTATTTCTCTGCCACTTATTGCATTTGTCGCTGCAGGTTTCTGAGTGCACCAGCAGCTTCCAAATGTGTAGTGGTCATGATTGTAGATGTAGGGAACTCATTTGTGGGAACCAATGCTTGCAAAAGAATCCAAACCTATTTTGGAAAAAAAATTCCACCTCTCCCAAATATTTTTATATAAATTTGTAAAGYTAGTTATCCTAGAGGTTTCTGGATGTCTGTCTGAAGAACTTTCAGCATCCTTTTTGACTTCCCAAAATAACAGCACATTAGATCTATAGAAATGAGAAAGAACTTTGGGGAAGGGTAATGGATTGCTGGCAAATATATTAAAGGAAATAGGAAAATCACAATTAACATAAGGATATAAAATTAGATAGTTTGATATGAAAGAATATGTTTACAGTTGAAAACGATATATCTAAAATTAAGTTGAGATTAAGTCTAAATAAGCAGGATACAGAATGGTACATACTGTATATATGCATAATTTCAAATATGTGAATAGGAACTTACATAAAAATGTACAGAAATGTGGCTMTTTGTGTAGTAGGATTAAAAAGTGGTCTGTATTTCTTTAGATAGTGATATATTTTTTTACATGCATGAATTTTCTCCAATAATAAAAAAGAAAGAAAGCTTTCRGTATTATAAGAGATCAAACGTTTACATCCCAAATCTATGAATTGCATTCACTTGTTTACCAGAGTAGGGATTGGATTATGAGTATGTGTTTTAATATGTACTATTGTGCTGATAATCGAGCTATGCAAATTTTTTTAAAAGCCACAGGAACAGTTAGGAGGCATTACAGTAAAATTCAGATTAAGTTCAGAGCTGGTAAGAATCTTGGCTTCATTCCATATCAGTTATTATTTAAAACCCTCTACTCATTTTTTTCAGTAGTAGAATGGTGATAATAGTACCTATTTGAGGCATGTGGCACAGTGCCTCCTGATATAACAAACCCAGTACTTAATAATTATCATTACCAAGAAACTCTTTCATAGGGCTTACCAGACTCTCAACCAACTGGCTCCTGCAGCCAGTCATGTCACCAAATGAGTCTTTCATACCCAGCCAGTGCTAACAACTTTTCCTTTATCTTCTGTGCCCCACCCCACAGACCCATTCAGAGTACTCTTCTGAATGATCATCCTTTCAGACCCAGCTCAACTAGCACATCTTATTTTCAAGTATTTCCCCCATTCCCTAAGCACAGATGATTGCTCCCCTTCAACTCTCCTTAGAATACAGATGAATTTACGTAGTAGTACCTTTCTGTTACTCATCTACAGACTGTGAAATACTGAGTCATGGCAAGATGCAACTTAAGGTCTTTTATACCTAGACTGTATGCATGCAAAATCAAAAACAATTTTTTAAAATGAATGAAAGCACAATGATTTATATTACAATCTAAAGACCCCAGTAGAGCATCCTCTAGAAATCTACAATGAGATCTTATCCTTAAATGATAAAATAGTCTAGAAATGGCTAACAAAAATATATAGATACTTGCAAGTAATATCAAGTATAAAAGGCCTACATTTGATATTGCAATGTAGTATAAGATTTTAGATAATTTGAGGCAAATACATTGTTAATAAATGTGCTTTTAATAGTTTGCAGCCCAGTAATATAGCAGCTTGTGATTGATATCAAAATAGTAGCTCCCATTGTTACAGATTAGAAAAACAAAACCTCATTTCTATTTGCCTCCATGTCAGATTCTTCTTAGTCTGAAAATTTCCCAAATTCTTCAGAACTATAATTGCAAATTATACTTTGGCCTCCATATTATCCTATAATTATTACCTTCTATAATAAGTAGTTTATCATTTTATGAACTAAGCAGAGTTTTGTCCCCCAAAGGTGATMATTTTCTTTTAAGAAAAATATTTTACTGATGCAAAAGTACTTATTTACACTCCTTTTGAACTATAAAAGTTCATTATCACATTTTTCACCACTTATGGATTGCAGTGACCTTACTTTCTCCTGTTTTTCTTGTCTCTGGTTTATTCAGATGTTTCACAAACATCCCTACCTTGATAGTAATAACACAAAGTAATAACACAAATACACACAAAACCAACCTTAGACGTCCATTAAGTTTTTCTCMTTGTAAAGTCATTTAAGATCAATGTAAAGAATAACTGATGGAAATAAAGAACGATTGCTTCATATATGAGAAAGATTAGTTTGGAAAAATGTAAAATACTACCAACTAAGGAAAATGGCTTAGACTCATAAAAAACAAGCTTTTTTAAGCTTTCAGCATCAAAAATCCACTGCATACATATTTTGAAAGGCACCTGTTCCTGGCAAAGTTTCATTCATAGTGAATGTCTTATTAAAGTTTAAAATTAGCATTCAAGTCACAGTATAGACCTAGTTAAAAATATCCAGAACCTTCTTAAAGAAATGGACTCTAGATTGCATTTTAAAATTCATCCCCAGACTCTTTGGGGAGGATTAGGTTTGAATTTTTTTTTTTTTTTGAACAGATAGATATGATGGCGAAGATGATAGCCGACAGTTTTCCTAATACTTAAACAAGGGGCTGGGCATAAATAGTGGATTTTTTAGAAGGAGTTGGGCATATTCTCTGTCCTGACTGTGTATCTATCCCTTCTGCAGCATGCCATGCCTTTCTGGAGGGTCTCTAGTCACTCAGACCTCATGGCCCTACATCATGCCTTGGAACTGGAGTACCTGTAATGACAGCATGGCACTTTGAAACCACACAACCTCCCTGTGACCAGGGACAAATCCAACAGGCCCGAGTTTCATGTCAGCGCTGGACTCCAGAACTTAGTGATTTCAACATACCATGTGCAGCTGCTGTCAATTTTGACCTCTGCCCTCGTGGTTAAGGGAGGACCACGTCTATTTCTTCAGAACAGCTGTTGACTCTAGTACTGTGAATCCAATGAAAAGAAGCCATGAGAATGTTCTAGCACAGCGTAATGTGTCTTTGCCACATTAACTACACGGTTCAAACCTGTGAAGAAAGGACCTGCAAACACTTCAGTTTTTAGCATTTTCAATGTGACATAAACAGCTTCTCTAATACAGCAAACTTGATTGCACAACAAAGACTGAAAATGTGTTTCCTGAATACCAGTGGAAGAATTTTCTTGTAAAGAAGGTTTACTTTTTGGTGTCTTCTACCCAGGGTAATCTGTACATCTCTACTTATTTATGAACAGACTTTTTATTAAAAAAAATTTACTGAGGTATAAATCACATACCATACAATTCACCCAGACAGACTTTTTTGACATCAAGTAATTGAAGAGACAATAATGTAAGAAATAAGCAATTAAAGGCCTTTGCCTCATGACATGGCAAGTACTTTGAATTTTAGCACATTGCAAAGTAGTTTAAAGTATGTCTAATTTAAACATATAATATGTACATCACTGAGACAATCATGTACAGAAAGAATTTTTGGTGTAAATTTGTAATAATGGATGATTCTTTTACATATTGTTTAGGGAAATGATATTGAAAGGCAGTAAAGCCTTCTCAGTGAAGCTTGAGGCAACAGGTGCACAAACTCATGTGCAGTGCCTTATCCGAGTATTGGGTATAAATATGTAGATAATGGATTTTTTTTGATAATGTTGTCAAGACCAAAAGCATGGATATCAAGTGTCAATAAGGATTTTGTTTTCCAAATCCTTTTCCCCCAACAGTTCTTCTATCTAAATTTTGTTAATACTGTTAGGAGGATCTTGATAAAAATAACACAGYAGCTTCTTCTTTTGGAAACATGAAAAGTCCTCTTATCACCTTTTTCATTTCAACACTAATGTATTATATGTAACTATTTGGAAAAGTGATTATTCAAATGCTTCATCCCATGGAAAGAATATAGATGATAGATATATTTTATTAATAAAAATGGTTCATGAATGGGAGACTAACAGAGTTTTAATGTGCTCAGAATTATTATTGTGTCTGTATTTTCTTGTTTAGGTACAGGAAGACATTTCCACGTGGCTAGATATCAGCATAACTTTGCATTACTCCACAAGTTCAAATCCCCTCTCTTTTCCTCCCCATGCAGAGGAAAGTTCATTGCCAACAGTGGATGTAGTGGGGTCTCCATCACCAAAAAAATTAATGTGAGCCTCCACTTATATCATGACAAGCATAAATCTTGGGGTGGGGGAGTGTCACTCTGGTCACACAATAGGAAAGTCTCTCCCAAAGTGATCAATTTGTCCAGGCAAGCTACTCTTTTGCATCTAAAGCTTTTCATTTCCATGAAATTATTCTTTGGATACATTTTATTTAATATTATATTGCCCCCCCCAGCTTTGACCCAGAGTAGCTAAAGAGTTATTCCACCCTTATCTGAAGTTTCGTGTTGCTGCTAGAATTAGTCATTTGTGAATTCTCCAAATCGTGTGACAATTGAATTAGCTTCTCTTTTTTTTTTTCCCTTTTTCGCTTGAAGCAAACAGAGGTTGATTTATTTTTTTTTTAACCTTCTCATTTTATGTTCTTGTACTCTGAAGACTGAAAAGACAAAACTCATCTTGGCCTTACTGTAAAAAGGTGTGTCGTGTCCACAATTGTGTACAGAATTTTTCTTCATTAATTTTTGTGTTTAAATTAATAAAATTGATTTGTGAAGTACTATAYGCTCCTCGAATATCAATATCATCTTTTTCCTGATGTTTATAGGAAGTAGCAGGACTTTGGTTGCATTGGAACACTCAAAAGCCCCACAAAGGAAGTTGCAAGAAGCAGCTGCCGTGATGGCTTTATCAGTACTTCAGGGAACCAAGCTGGTAGGCAACAGCTGTTTCTCTGATCACTGTAAGAACTGATGAATAGAAAAGCTCTTTCTTTCCCCAAACTCTATAAACTGAACCCTCACTCAGATTTATCTACTAGAGGGCAGATTTCAGCTTAAAATATCTTGGATTGCAAGTCATAGATTTAGCCACTTAAATACCCAAGGGACAGCAAATATAAGACAGTTTCATCAAAAAGAACGCCCACAACATATCTCTGCGATTAGCCAGATTAATCACCGACAGAGAGCTATAAAACAGCACAACTCACTTCCTCTTGAGAATTTAATCTAGAAACACAATATGCATACATACAAACACGTGAAAATCAAATGTGCTTTTGTCTAGCCCATCTATCAGCTCCATGAGGTATGTTTTTCACACGCACTCACACACACGCACACGCACACACACACAAAGTGAAGCAGGTTGAAGAATGAGGTGTCCATCTTGAAAACAAAGGGGGTTGGGGAAGAACCTTTAAAGAGAGTTTGGTGTGTGGAATGAAGGGATTACTAGGTCATAGGAAAAGTAAGAAAAGTAGGCAAAATGGAGGCAACACACTCCAAAGATGATTTTTTTATTTATTATTGGTCTTTCAAAATATTACATAGTTCTTAATACATCATATTACACGGTTTGATTCAAGTGGGTTATGAACTCCCACTTTTACCCCGTATACAGATTGCTGAATCACATCAGTTWCCCTTCCATTGATTGACATATTGCCTTTCTAGTGTCTGATGTATTCTGCTGTCTGTCCTATTCTCTACTATCCCCCCTCCCCTCCCCTCCCCTCCCAAAGATGAATTTTTTAAAGCAGCGCTTCTACCATGACACCCTGTGGCCAAAACATTTAAAGAGTTCTCCTTTGGGCATWAGAGCTCAGATATTTCCCCTGGGCATTCTAGAGCTTCCAAATGCAGGCTGGCCCTTCTCCTCAGCATTATCTCATTACCTTAAGGAGCAAACCTTCAGGATGCCAGGCCAGCATATCATGCTCTTCAATGGAGCAAACAGCCCCGCCTCATCTTTGCTAGAGCCTTCCCAGTAACGGCAATGACCTCCTCCAGCCTCAGTCTACCCAAACTGTGGCCAGCTCCAGTCCCCACTCTTCTGCACAGTCTTCTTTGGCATCATGGTATTGTGTTAGCAACTTCTTTTGAACTTCCCATGCACCCACCCTCTACCTTGGCAGTTCATGCATGTTCCATTCAACAGACTCATGGAACCCTTCTTGTGTGCATTGTCCTAGATGCCCCCAGGTCTGAGATCACATTTGGGGCTGGTAGAAACAGACAGTAAATGAATTACTGAATGAATGAATAAGATAGCCTCATGTCAGAAGGGTTCTTTATGGAAAGTTAACACAGAACATGGGTAATAGACATCGTAAGCCTCCTTGAACAGAATGTCTGACCTGAGACCTGACTACTAGGGAGTAGGCAGCATGACTACTAGGTCGGGGCAAAGCATGCAAGCATGTTTGTATTGTAGGAATGAAAAACACACCTTTGGGACCAAGAGGAGAGGTTTAGGAGATGACTTTGTAAAGGAAGAGAGACCAGAAAGATCTTGAGGTCATGCTAAGGGTTTTAGGTGCCATTCTGTAAAAAGGGAGGCCATTGAAGTTTTTATGGGAGGGTATTAACTGCTCCTTCTTATTCTTTGAAATGATTACTCTGGCTTCTTTGTGGAAAATGGGCTATAGAGGAGCAAGAGAAGTATTAAACCAGTTATTAGGTCATTAATTGGGTCCAGATCAACAATGGTCAGATTTGAACTAGGATGATGGAGAGGGAAATCTGAGGTTTATTTTTAGTGATAACAATGATGGGATTGGCTAATAGGTTGGAGAGGGAGACTTGTGAGACACAGGAAGAATCCAGACATGTCCAAAGTGTCTAAACACTGTGCAAAGACAGCCCAGTGGTTAGGAGCCTGGCTTCTGAACTCAGATGGGCTGGAATCTCAACTTCTCTGAGCCTTAGTTTCCTCAACTGTAAGAGGGGAGTAATAATAAGAGCTACTTTCAAGAATTATTCTAAGACAATATGTTAAAATACATAAAGTATTTGGAACAAAACCATCTCCTCACATCACTGTGTTGTTCTCGCCTAGAGAACAAGCTGGAAAACACAGCCTGGTCCTGACTGCGAGCATTGGGCCAGAGGCTATGAGAGAGTTTGTTGTAGTTCTAGAAAGGGGTCCATAAACGGACTGATGGAGTCAAAGGGTAGCACTAGCCCAGACAGGCAGGAGAAGCTTCCTGAAGAACGAATGGATATCCCGTTCGTTCTTGAAGGCTGGGGAGGAGCTGGCCCAAGCAGAGCCAGGAGCAGAGAAGAGCCTGAGAGCAGCCTAAATCAGGAAGGGATGCAGCAAGCTGGAGAAGAGAAGGAAGGAGAAAGCCTCAGGACTGTGGCCCTGGAGCCCAGAGAGGGAATGGGAGGTGGCAAGGAGAAGGAGAGAGCCAGGCTCTGTCCTTTATCTCAGAATAAAACTTCAGCCTCTGGGCTCTAATGTACAATCACGACTGCTCTCCTTCACGGAAGAAAGAGGTGGAAGAGAATAGGAGCAGTAGTTCAGCTCCTGCATTAGCATCTACCACCTTCCCATTTCTATACTAGACTAGATTTCCAGTGTTGGGTCGAGGTGCCATCTAGTTAAGCCCCTTTTATTTTACAGATTACAGAACTTGGGTTAAAATGCTTTGCCCAAGCATCACAGTCAAATAAAGCAAAGACATACCTCAGCCCACCCTCTTGGATGCATGCAGAATTGTGAGAAGATTAGGAGCTAGATGGCCAGGAAAAATAAGCTTGGCCTGTCTTATCTATCACTAAATAAAGAGGTAATATAAGGTGTTCCTTTCCAATTTTCAAGGTCTGTCTGGCATTCTGTCCAGTTAGTACAATTTCCAATGATATCTGAATGCCTTTTTAGCTTTAGTGTCTCAGTCCTATGTCATCCTTCCTGATTTGTTTTAAAATTGGTCTTTTATTGAGCCAGACATCAAAGAACACACATTTTGTAATAACTTCTTAAATTTGTTTTTCAAAACTTACATATGACATGGATGTTTCCCAATTCAAATAAATATAAAAGGAGACCATTTGCCTAACAGAATGCAGACTTAACGGACACTGTATGCTACTTAAGACTTACAAGAAATTTCTTCCCAGACACTGAACTTTACCCACATTATGCACAGCTACAAAGCTTGGGCTGGAATAGCCCCATCCATCCTAACTGGGATAGTTTCTCTACAAGCCGAAAGGATCGCATTGGTAGGAGCACGTCTTTCTTTCAGTGTCTCTCTGAGCGTTTCCATTTCTCTGCATTCTGTGTGATTATACAAACTGACAGGATGACTTGTGGCAGAAGAAATGAAAGGGTTTGTAATTTAGGAAACCTCTGGCCCCGCTGACTGAAAGCAGGTTGTTTGTAAAAAGGAAATCCTGACCTCAGCTCACTGGCAAACTCTGTCAGAAGCAATAGAAGGGAGCAAAGGAGAAAGAACAGTGCTGGGGATTTTTATTGGCACCAGAAGAAAAATGGATGCTCTGCCAGAGGAAAGCCCTTCAAGAAGAACTTGACACTGGGGGACCAAGACACGCACCAAATCCGTGAGTGTGTGACTGCATGGTCGCATGGGGGTTCTGCTCTGGTCTATGGGCGGGTTGCACAGGGGGAGTTGCTGCTTGGGACAATAGCTAGACTGACAGCCTTCAAAGTGGATTGATCCCTCCTGTCCTGAGGCTGCAGGCACACCATAGCCTGCTCTGTCATTATCCTGGTTTGACACAAAGCTCAAGGTGCCTGCTATGAAAGGGATGCACTATCCAACATTCTCTGTGTTGTCCCTATCTCACAAGGGATCCTCCTGCATGCCACACAACTCCCTAAAAGGGGTTTAAGGTCCTGTGAGTTCTGATCTCTGGTTGGTTCTCAATCAACTAGCCCCCTGACATCCCCTGGGGTGTTTTGACAGATACCCATGCATGAGAGTCCCACCCTGAAGATTCTAATTTGATTTCTCTGGGGTGTGGCTGCAGCTATTTCCTTGTGCCAGCAGATGTGAGACACCTCCACTGCCAATCACCTGCAAGCAAGGTGATGGCCAATTTTGGAAGTGTATTTCCTAGCTCTMGGCCATTCTAGTCCATTCTGCACATCCCGTGCATGCCTTTGAAACCCTCATGACCCCACTCCACTGCATTCAATAAGTGTCCAGAAGGGCTCCTCTGTGAGTGCAGAGTTCTACCTCATGACAGGTGCCCTCAAGGGGCTGCCATCTATCTACTAGGGAAACAGGTGTTCAGGGGCAGCCATGGTCTGCGAAGAGGGCCAAATTTAATTTCAAGGACACCTGCAAAGGGGATGGGGTGGGGGGTATAGCAAAAAACTTTCATTTTTGATGGAAGCCCCCAAAGCACAGCAATGAATGTTGCCTGAGGAAATGAGAAGGAAGTGAGATTTTCATTTTCCTAAATGAAAGATAAGGACAAGAAGCTGAAGAGCTTCCTAAACCTAACCATCCTCCCAAATCCCTAGTCAATGACCCTCTTGTTTAAGCTTCAAACTTAGTACTCAAAAGGCATTCTCAATTTCTTCCCACCACTTTCAGTCTTTTACCAAACCTTG